AAAATTAATTTATTTTAAAAAATAAATAATAAAATAAAAAATAATAAAATGAAATGAATCCACTTGCCAAGAGACAGGCTATAGGATTAAAAGTATGACTTATTGTAGAATTTCCTTAAGGACTAAAATATGAGTGATGGGCAACAAAATTGTGAAAGGTCCCCAAATCAGTAATAAGAGTGATAAAAATCCTAGAAGTGCAAAAGTCTTCAGGACAGGCAAGAAAGCTGGCAGGGATTTGCTTGTGTGGAGCAGGCGAAGGAAAGGCACGCCCAGCAGGAAACTGGCAGACACTGGTTATAGCGACAGGCAAAATCTGAACATCAGTAATAGGTTAAATTCTTTTATAAATGTTTCCCCGTGGCCAAGTGCTAAAAATGCAAATTCATAAGGAAATTAGACAAAAGACAAGAGAAATGAGTTATTTGTTCAACATGAAAGGAAAAACACAGATAGGAAAGGAATACTACAACAGTATGAAAGTTGAAACACCATTTTTCTCCTATGTTTCTTTCCTTTTTTTTTTCCTTTTCTTTTCTTTTCTCTTTCTTTCTTTCTCTCTCTCTCTTTTTTTTTTTTGGCTCTAAAATGGCTCCATAAGGATTGGGAGGAGGGGAGTGGCAAAGGAACCAGGCAATCTCTTCTGGAAAAACAAACGAGGTTTCCAAAATTCATTTATGCTTCTCTTCATCCAGTTCAGTCTGCTTCTCTCCTTTCTAAATGCTTACGTGGGTGCTTTCTCTGCCTGGTATTCATAAGCAAGACATTTTTGAAATATATAGCTTCATACCAGTAATGGGGTGGGGTAGAACAGCACACAAAGGAGCTTGCGTTTCAAATACCAGCACAAAGAACTGCTTCTTGAAATATGTAACATTTCCAACTGCAGGAAGGCACAATTGGCTGCATGTGTCAGTTGTATATAGACCTTCCAAAAGGACACAACACGAATGGACTACAGTGTATAGTCTAGATCTCATTATAACACAATCAAAAATATGAGCTGGTATTTCCACCTCTGACACCGTGTGAGTTTTTCAGTCTGCTTCGTATTCATGGGGGTTCAGTTGAACGAATTAATACCATAGTTAGAGGGAAAAAATTATTTGGCAGAACGGAGGGATAAGGAGGGGATAGGAGGAGTAATTGGCATGGAAAGTCATTTGATATTACCAGTTAAGCTCCAGAATTGGGGTTTTGAGGATAATTCCAAACAAAATCCCAGACATTGGTTTGGAAACTGTTTCTCCACTAATCTATGTTCTACTTTTGTGGCGTTCCAATGAATGATATCCCAAAATTATAAATGTTTTCTTCAAACCGAATTTCCTATGAATTGGCAACAATTAGTTTAATTGGATTGAAGGAAATATGATTAATTTTGAGAAGGATATGTTTGCTCTGAATCTTCTCGAGGAAAATCCATTCTGTTTTGGTAAAAGTATGAACCATAGTTATAAACAATTCCTGAAACAGTGCAGTTCTATGATAAATTTGAGGACTCACTTAAATACTGACATATTCTCTGTAATATTAGGCTACAAGAATTCAATGTATTACAGGGAGTATTCTTTTTTTTTAGCTTTTATTTTGTTAGTCAACATACAGTATTATATTAGTTTCAGGTGTAAAATATAGTGATTCAATGCTTCCATCCATCACCTGGTGCTCATCACAACAAGGGCGCTCCTTCATCCCCATTACCTAGTTCCCCCATCCCCCCACTCACCTCCCAACCAGTGACCATCGCTTTGTTCTCTGCAGTTCAGAGTCTGTTGTTTGGTTCTCTCTCTCTCTCTCTCTCTCTTGCTTATCTTGTTTCTTAAATGTTTCTTAAATATGACTGAAATCCTATGGCATTTGTCTCTCTCTGCCTGACTTCTTTCACTTAGCATAATACCCTCTAACCCACATCTCGATTTCCTTCGCACAGTTTCTCATCTCCTCCTCATTTCTGCAGGTGTTCATTGCATCCATTCATTGGCTCACTCTTTAGAAATGCAGAGCTATAAAATTTTTACTTCAATATATTAATAACTATCATTTATTAAACAGGCATTCCAGTTCCTTTATATATTATGTAATTGAACCCTTGGGACAGTGTTTTCATCTCCATTTCAGAGCTGAGAAAGCCGAGTTCCTGAAGAGTTGGCTAACTTGACCAAGGCTGCATTCAAACCCAGACCTAATACCGCAGCCTGTGTAGTTTTCACTACGTTATGCTGTCTCTGAACAAAAGAAGTTGTCAGAACCATCATAAGGGGAACTATATTAAAATACCAACTAAGGGGCGCCTGGGTGGCTCAGTTGGTTAGGCAACTGCCTTCGGCTCAGGTCATGATCCTGGAGTCCCGGGATCGAGTCCCGCATCGGGCTCCCTGCTCAGCGGGGAGTCTGCTTCTCCCTCTGACCCTCCCCCCTCTCGTGTGCTCTCTCTCTCATTCTCTCTCTCAAATAAATAAATAAAATCTTTAAAAAATAAATAAATAAATAAAATAAAATAAAATACCAACTAAATGTTCACGGAGGATAAACAGAACAAACTATATCAGACAAAATACCTTTTCCAAAATATTAGCCACAAGAGCTTGAAAAAATGTTCTAGAACTGCATCCCCTTAATCTTAAATCATTACTATTACTCAATTATTTACACTTAAATTTTTGGAGATTGAATGCTTATTGTCTTAGATCCTAATTAAGGGCTTGTAGGCATCTTCATAAATGCAGCAGTTAAAACTTTTAATAAAAATTCAAAGCATCTACAAACTTTGGTTTCTGAATAAAATATTTATATGGGGTTTAAAGACTATTTTCTATCAGAAATTGGCCACATTCTCCTCATCATCCTTGTGCCTGTTTTCCTCTGTACTACTGAGAAGCCTTGGCAATTTATCACAGGACAAAATACAGAGAAAGAGAAGGAGGAGTAACCTTCAACTTGAGCATAAATCATACTCCCGCCACCACTGTCCAGGAGCCCGAATGAGATCCAAGGGGAGTGGCAGGGACCATTTTAGTTGAGTTACCTAAAGTGGCTACACTGGATCACCAACTCATAGGTCCCGAATTAGCTACTGACCCCTCCTTCTGGTATTTCACAGAGGTCAAAAGTGAAACTGAGATGTCCCTGAACCAGGCACAGGAAAAGAGGAGAGGACTTAAGAATCCAACAAAACCGATTTTTACTGAACGGGGAGATACAAAAATATGTATAAATAACATTTTCTTATGTGACTGAAACAGTAATTATCATTGGAATACAATGTGGTGTCTTTTTGCCAAAGAGTAACACATATTTGAAATAAGTCTCTCCAATGCTATTGTGACTTACATAAATCTTAAGAATGAAGGTCTGTTACGGGTTCCATCATGCATATTTCCCCCTGATAGAGCCCCAGAGATCATTTGTAGCAACACATAGAGCTTACCGTAGACAAAATAAAATGGAATGAAGTTTTTTTTTATGTAGGTCCGAATTCATCCCTCCATATTTGTGTGTGTATGCGATTTAAATTATTTTACTAGATCTCAGAATACAAAATAAGGTAATACATAATCATTGTAGGAAATCATATAATACTAAGCTCTATAAATAAAAATAATATCCTAACTCTTCCCAAATCCCACAATTTTGTTAGCAGTTTCTACATATCCTTCTACACCTTTCTTTGACTCATTGTAATATGTGCCTATTTCCTTTTAACTTCTTTTCAAAATAGTATTATATTACTCCACAATTTGCTTTTATCATTTATCAATAAATCACTGATGTTCTTCTGATTAATACATGAAAACACCCATTCTGTTTTCCTAGTCACATAATGCTAACTAAAATGACCAGTAGAAATAAATGACCAAGCCCTAGATTTTGGCCTCCAATTCCAAACCCCACTGGAAGGTATAGAGTTTCTTGGGAAAATGGCCAATTCCAGATCTCGTTCGGCAGCAGAGAAGACACAAGACGAGCCTGAGACGTCATGCAGTGTCAGAAAGCAGGGAAGAGCTCAAAGATAAGACCGTTTCAAAAGGGCACTGGAAGCAGCTCAAAGAGGCCCCTGCTAGTCAAACGTGTGACAATGTGAGCAGCAAACAGAGTAACCGCCGCCAAGCTGGTAAGTAATAGCTATACAGACTTGGTGTGGGGGAAGTGAAGTAATGCGTGCCACCTTCTGCAGCCAGCAAGAAGTAGTCAATGTTGAAACTGAGTTTCCATGACTCCAAAGCAGTGCTTCTACTCTACATCCTGCCTCTTGATCAAAGCAGTGCCGAACTGAAAAGTGCAGAAAGGAGGAGAATAAAGAGACAGCTAGGAAGAGGCACGTAAGGAAACCTGAACTTAATTTTCACTGGAAAGGATTTTCTAGTAAGTGGCCCCATCCAACAATACAAAAGCAGAATCACAGACACCTAAGCAGAGGTTGGATAAGATGGCATCCAGAAAGTCCAGCACTCATGTTCAGATGAGCCAAGTGCTCCTCCCTCGTGGTGGCGCTTGCCTTTCATGTCCCTGTAATGGTGGCAAATCCCCACCTTGGGCCATGGTATGTTCTCCAACCCCCCCCCCCCCCGTTATCTCTGATACGCAGATTCTCCAAAGACCAGACTATTCCTTCAGTTCCCCCTCATGCCCTGTGGCTCCAGGACTTCAGTGCTTCCTGCCTCACAGCGTCCCCCAGCAGGCCCTGGGAACTCTTCCCAGAGCTCTGCCCCCCACCCCAGGGACGCTGAGCCCCGCCCCCCACTGTTGCAGAGTAGAGCCCGCCTCCCACTACCCAGTCACCCTGGGAGGGGTTTTGACCATTGTCTCCCCCACCCCCAAACTCTCCTGGGACCTAGAGAGAGGAAATAGTAGTTTATCCTTCATCACCAGCCCTGCGCTCCCCCTCCTGGGACGGTACGACTCTGGCCGACAATGAAGAATTATGCGGATAGCTTAGAGTTATAGCTTCTCTTTGGCAAAACCAAAAGGTCTGCTTTGGTCATTTTTCTTCCCCACAACTGAAGAGCAATCATTCTCAAAGGAGAATCAAGCACCCATCTCTAAGCAACAAAATAAACCACAGAAACTTCAACACTGGTGTCTTTTTCTCCCAAGGCTTAACTATCCTAGGCCTTTCCTCTGACTCACTGTTCCCAGTCCCCTCTTGGCTCCTGCCACTAGCAATATGCACACTTGCCCCTTAATGCTGAGGTACACTGGCTCGTGCGATGGGCACTGAGATGTGTTGTCCAGGTCCCCCTTCCAGGAAGGGCTGGTTGCCCTAGCTGATGGGAGGGCTGCAGGTAGAGAGCCAGCCTTCTGCTGGAGGCAAGTGAGCGGCAGAGGGCTGTCAAAGTCAAGGTCACATCCTTCTAAGGGTGGCCTACACCCAGTGATAGCTGATCAAAGTAAAGGTATAAAATCCGTGCTATTTGGCCCCACATGGGATCATTATATGCCAGAGCTATCCATGGAGATGGCCAAGGCTGACTTGGCCTGCATTACAGCCCAACTTCTCCCTCTACCCAATTTGGTTTCCTTCTTCTCCCCTTCCAGGTGTTGATCCCTTTTAGACAAGTGCACACCAAACTCTTTCTCATGGTATGCTTCCAGGAGAAACCAACTTGCAACACCCTGCTACAAGATCCCTGTTAGAACAACCATGGACCAATATTCCCAACACAAACTCCACATATGGTCTCCTGAATCCATGCAACTCTGGAGGGAGGGCAGTTTCCTTCCAGATAAAGCCTCCTCCCTCTGATCATAGGCCACTCAGGCCTCATCAGATGAGTCAGGCACCAGCCCTCTGGGCTCCTCAGATGCAAGGAACAAACCCTACAGGGCTCAGCTTGGTCCCATAGATGCTCCCCTCAGTAGGCCAGGGGCTAGGAGTAGGAGGCGCCTGCCCTCATTCTGGAGGGTAAGGAGTGGTGGGACTTTCGATGCCACTTCCTCTAAGAAGCCCCCCCCATGACACACACACACACACACATACACACACACAAACTCCTCTTAACTCTTACCTTCCATGTCAGTGACTCTTCCCTTCAGGTTTTCCACAGTCAACTGAGAATTACTGTCCTGGTGGTATCTTGGAATGTGGTGGCCATTGTCTTCATTCCTCAGCCAAAACTGACCCTAGAAGAGCCCCATTTTAACAACATGTTACATTATGGAAATGCTTGAACATGGCAAGAATATCTTTTGGAAGAACTCTAGCAGTGGTCTTCTCTGTGGAGGGAAATGGATGAGCAGGGGAGAAGGAAAGCACTGAGACATGCTTTTCACTGTTTTTTGTGCTTTGGGGTTTTTGTGCCACGTACATGTATGTTATACCTATTAGACTGAACCTTACAGAATTACCAATATTTGACCATTTAAAAAAATTTTTTTCAAGATTTTATTTTTAAGTAATCTCTACACCCAACGTGGGGCTCAAACTTAGAACCCTCGAGATCAAGAGTCACATGCTCTGCCAACTGGGCCAGCCAGGCACCCCAATATTTGACCATTTCTGATCTACAATTTTCTTATTACGTTGTCTACCCTCAGCATAGTCAATTAAAGGAAACCAGAGATGGACTACTTGATGTTTCTCCCACCATCAGATTATAATGACTATAAGTGGCCTAAACTGTCCCTTATCTCTTCCTCTCAAACCCTGACCCTGCTATATAATTTTCCTAGTAATATCTCTTATACTTTAAGTTTGTTTCTGGAAGCAGAACAGAAGGAGAATGCAACCTAAGGAAGACAATCAGTAACAGTCCCACTCTGTCCCCACCCTATGTCTAATACTCTCCCCAAGGCCCCAGATAAAGTACTATCTTTCAAGACTCTGCCAAGACACCAGAGTCTTTTCTGAATTTCTTCTTGCTGCCTACAGCCCACTGAAGAGAGACTGACGATTCTGCTGCTCAGATGCCTATCAAAGGCTCTATCACAGTATTGGCCCGATGCGTACACACACCTGGCTCCTTCATTAGACGATTTTTTTGTAAGAAAAAAAGTTCTTGTGTTCGTACCCCAAATTAGAGCAGCCCCACGATCGGACCAGTAGGTTCTGATAAAAGAGGATCAAGAAGCCATTGCTAAATGAATGAATGGCCTCATTGTAAAAGCTGGCATTATTCATACCACAAATGAATTCAACAACTACCTCATGCTGTACACTCCTTATTCAGGTTTGAGGGCAATATTCTGCGTAAACGTACAGTGGGATACAACTGTGAATCATTAGCTTCTGCGGACTTCTACTCAAATGGTCCGTATATGACAGATGTCTTGGATCCCCAGTCCTAGCACACAGAAACACACTCTTTCTGAAAACATACCTTGACAAAGAAGGGCAGCCAGTAAGACCCTGGCTCCTACAGACGATAATTCTGTTATGCTTCATAGCCTCCAAATTTCTATCTTGCTTCTAAGTGATGAAGAATTTCGAGTCTCCAAGGAGGACAAATAACAGGAGAAAACTTTGTCAGGAAACGACAGGCCCTCAGGGCTGGAGTTTAGAAAACACTTACGCAGGTGAGGCTGTTTTCAAGAAGTTTTGACTATATAAATTCCTCTTTGTCAGAGTTACCATGTATTAGTCTAAGACAGTTATTATATTTTCTTATTATAAGCATGCACTGTGTTCTGCATCTGGAGCGCTTGCCAAACTGTAGATTTATTCCTATTTCTATACATCTGTGAAAAGAATGTGTGTTCTGTTTCATCAGGGAGTTACTTGAAGTCACAGGTTGCTAATTCCAAATGAATAGAAACAGTGATTAATCTGGGAGATACGAGCTCGCCACTATTCATGTAACAGATGTCCATTATGATGAGCTACACATTTGTTCCACGTTTATACTAGAATACAAAACAGGAGAGCCCAACCATTTTGTGAAAGAAAGAAAGAAAGAAAGGGAGAAAAGAAAAGCAAAGAGAAAAGAAAAGAAAGGAAAGGAAAGGAAAAGAAAAGAAGAGAGAAGAAAAGAAAAGAAAAAAAGATGAAAAGAGGATGATGGGGGAAGGGGGAATTAGAAAATACTTTGAAAATGTTTATTCAGGTGCCAGGTTAGATGCGCAGAAACGTGCGGTATGTCTGCAGGGTGGCAGGTGAAGAGCGGAGGGGAGGTAGAGAGGGAGAACCCGGGGGTAAATGTTCCTGGCTTCATTTCAGGGTGTGGATATTAACTCAGTTCATCTCACTTGGCTGACAGAAGCACTAATGCCAAAACCAGCAATTTCATCAGCATCAGCTACACAGAAGATGGGATTTCCGAGGGAGGCAAAAGAAGAGGGAGAATGATGTATGTAATTTTATTCAAATAATTAAAAACAAAGTTGGCAGTCTATCTTCCTGTCAAGAAGAATAAATATCAGACTATGGAGTTGGAAGGGGGAGTGCAAGAGGCTCCCTGCTGCTCCATATTAACTCCGGTCCAATACAAACTTTATAGTTGACTCTTTACAAAAACATCCATTTAAAATGATCCTCCTATGTTGTTTTTTTTTTTTTTTTTGGTTACTCTGTGAGTAGAGCTAACACAGCAAGAGGACACAAGCCAGGAGTAAGTGTGGAGGAGGCTGCCTGCCGGAGGCACACTAGAGCCCCTCGCTTCATAGCCACAAATACAGGGTTTGTATAACTCCACCACTTCTCCAAAATAAGATGAGTGAAAGAGAGGTTTCCAGAACTTTCCTTTCTCTCATTATTTACCTCCTGTCCTCATATGCCCAAAACAAAAGCAGGGCCCGGCGTACAGTAGGATCCAAGTACATACATACACACACATATATACGCACATATTTTTTTAATGAATTAAATGAACAGGGGCTGGACTTAATGAACGACACAAGCACAGGGATGGATAATATTTATCAATGGAGTCATTATCTTCTGTATTTGCAGACTCACTGGATTATAGCAGATGCAATATCATAACCAAAAGCTAAAGAACCCTCTCTGAATGTCTTAACCTGGCTATTACATGTCCTAAACTATACCTTCCCAGAGTTTCTTTTTCAATTGCAACTGTTTAGAGGAGAGGACAAGCTCCATTTTGTTACTAATGAAGAGAGAAGATTAGCATAGCCAAGTGACAAAAAAAATAAGAGTTCAAACAGACTCACTGATGACGGTTTTCCTTCTAAAGCATTTTAATCACTATTCTTCTACATTTCCAGTAATGTATCAAATCACTCTTCAATCGCTTCTAAAATGTTGAATTTAGGATGCAAAAGGCTCCACAATTATATCTAAACCTTTCTTTCTAGTATTTGAAGATGAGGACAGAAGTGAGCACCTCCTGTATTTGCAACACTCCCAAGTCCAATTACAGAACGGAGCTGTTCCTCAGAAAAGCCCACGTGGGGACTGGACTTGTGGGAATTGCACAAGCATGGGAACAGCAGACTTGTCTACCTTGAGCAATGCAGGGAGCAAGACACCGCAAAGGTAGCCAAAATGATTAAGGAGGAATTCAGCTAATTAAAAATGACATGTTGCTATGCCAAGTTAGAAGTGTTGGTAAGTGGGTACTTTCAGACAGCTAAAAGGTTCTTTCAGGCATCCCAAATTGCTCTGCCAAAGCCTTAATATTTTAGTCTAATCCCACTGAGTGAGCCAAGTTGATGATGACAGAGAAAAAAAAGGCTTTCCTTTTCGAAGGAAGTAGGAATTAGGATAATACAGGGGTCAGCAAAGTTTTGCTGTAAAAAGCCAAACAGCAGGGGTGCCTGGGTGGCTCAGTCGTTAAATCTCTGCCTTCGGCTCAGGTCATGATCCCAGGGTCCTGGGATCGAGCCCCGCATCGGGCTCCCTGCTCGGCGGGAAGCCGGCTTCTCCCTCTCCCACTCCCCCTGCTTGTGTTCCCTCTCTCACTGGGTCTCTGTCAAATAAATAAATAAAATCTTCTAAAAAAAAAAAAAAGTCAAACAGCAAATGTTCTTGGCCTTGTGTGCCGCACGGTCTCTCTTGCAAACGTTCAACGCTGCCACTGTGCCGAAAGCGGCCATCGGCAGTATGTAAGCCAATGAGTGTAGCTGTATTCCCGTCAAACTGTATTTATGAAAGCAGGTGACCGGCTGGATTTGACTCACAGCCCACAGTTTGCCGACCCCTGAAATATGTAGATGGCTCTCCAACAGCCTGAAACCTAAGGAAAGCTGCAGATCTCAAGGTCAAATTGAAAATTATAGTGCTTCTTAATTCTATTTTAAAATGCGCTTAGCAGTACCTCTGATTCCTGTGTGGATCTTATGGTGTTTGCCTGCCAATAGCATTTTCCTTAAATGCATTGAGATGCACATCTTTTACCCAACTATTGGCACAAGCTTAGATTCCGTCAACAAAATCAAGTCATTCTAAACATTCCAGGAATAAAAGACTTAATGTATTAATTAGGGCTTACGTCAATGTCGGAATACACTGGGACAGTCGGGTCCAGAAAGTCACTAGTGAAGGCCTGGGAAGCAGACACTGAATATATCTCAGCTTGGCATAGCAAGCTTATCCCAAGCTCTACGGAAATCTCCGATTTGTGAGAACGTCTGAGAAACCTTGCATCAACTGTCTGAGAACCAGTTGCTTTGCTGGTACAGACTGAATCTCCCCCTGCAAAGCCACGGTGAGCCTCCTACCTACCCGACATCCAGCTGCAAGCACCCCTGAGCATACCAGCTTCTACTTCTCTTTCACCTGAAAAACAGCGGACGTTACCACCGCAGCAATCCTAACGCGGGACAGTACGGGGACAGGGACCATAAGAGACGCAGTGCCCCACTTCTCTTCAGGAATTCAGAAGACATCTCCGAAGGGGTGGTACTGATGTCTCCGTGACAACGGATAGTCCAGCACATTCCACCACCCCTTTCTCAGTGCAGCATCCCAACACTCTCCTTTCACCCATTTTTAACTTCCAAATAAGTAAACAACATAATGCTTCCATCCTACTTGAATCAACTATCCCCCATACATCCCAAACTCCCTCGGGCTTTCCCCCAAAGTGGAGCTACAGAGTCCGATTTGTTATTTCATCCATGAATGGTTGACGGTCATTGTCTTCTAGTTCAGTCACAATGGCTCGTTACTCTTCTGCAGTGTTAAGGGTTGAGTTATAGGTTGAACTCGCTCCTTATACTACATA